CTTTGTATCCTCCTTCAGCTTGAAAACTTTGAACCGAATTGTGTTCTGAACCTTACTATCTAAATTCACCCCAGGGTCGATGCTGTGTTCATCGTCCGAGTCTTGGTCGAGCCAAACTATATCAGCTTCATCATCTTCCGGGACATCATCAACTGGAATAATATTAGCATCACCATTATCATCATCATCATCCTCGGGGAAACTTATATATCTAGCCACCATCATCAATCCGTCTCCCGTTGGACTCACGGATAAGTAGGCATTCTCAAATCCACCCCGTTCACGGTCAATGAACCAGTGGAGTCGTGGATGCCCCGGGATGGAAGTATCGCAAGTTAAAACCCTGAACCTGACATCCAAAGCGTAAAATTGACCCCTCCAGAACACAACATCTCTAAACCCAATTCGCTCCGGCCCTGGGCTAGGGCTAGGAACCAACGTCCATGCTTCGTCACTCCTAGGTCTGCAAAACGCTAGCCTAAGACCGTCAAGAGAGCGTATAACCATCACAACGAAGTCCTTTTCCGCACAAGGATCAGCAGAGAGAGCCATCTTGTTTATGAATGTAGACTCAAAGAACTTCTTTCCCTGCGCTATCTTGCGGCCAGAATCACTGAGACGCAAGAATTCATGACCGATTTTCTCGGGGCGGTACTTCAACACATCAGGAAAACTTGTGATTGGGGGCAGCTGGATCTGTTCTCTGGTTAGAGGGTTCAATAAGAACATAAAAGGTGTCCTCTGCAGAGTGAACACCCAGCCGAAAGCAGAGCCGCGGCAGGTCGTTTTGTCTAGGCCTTCCTGCAACTCGATGTGACGAAATGTCTGCTCGGCCACATCGAAAAACCGCCTACAGCTGTCACTAGCTTTGCATCCCTCCTCCGACGGCGAACTATTAACGGCGTCGTCGCTGCAATACGGAAGCATCAGCCACGGCACGGATTGCCTAAACTTTCTACAATCCAGGCTTCGTCTCCATGGCTTGCAAACGGCACGAAATAGGATAACATCCTTCAACTTGACCAACCGTTGATTAACCATACACAGAAGCTCCTCCGGCAGTTCAGACCAATTGTTCAATTCTGCCATCGGCCTTTCTTAGTATTCCGGCCGGAAGGATTAATCTGGCCAAGGCAGTAAGCCTCCTGGTGCTATTTATTAATTTCTAAATCAAAGATCGAATTTTTATAGAGTCCCGACTGGAATCCAAAACTAAATTGGAATCGGCGAATCTTTTCCTTCCCCTAGTCGGATCGGATTTACTACTCTACAACAGAGAAAGGCCAGAAACAGAGAGAGAGAGAGACAGATCTAATTGATAAACAAACTAAACGGAGGCTTACCCTATTCCTGGTAAACGCCCAAGTCTCACCACTGCGGGATCTGAGCCCGCCGCCGGCGACGACACCAAAACTCATAGACCCCAACCATAAATCCGTAGCCGGGTCAGAACTCATGGAACCTGCCTGCCCGGAGCTCTGGTTTTCGACTCATATATTCTGTTTTTTTTATTTCTCTCCCTTGTTTGTGCGGCGGAAAGTAGAAACTCATCGAACCTTTGTTTTTGTTCCGATGGGTAAATTGCAAAGTTTGGTCAAAAACTCAAACGGGATTCTCATCACTGAAAATATGTGATTCTATGGCATTGCTATTCGTCGCCCTAAAATACCTTATTTGTCGCCCTAAATTTTATCGAAATTACTCAAATATCCTTAGTTTAATATTTGTAATACATGGTTGCCGGTATCATTGAGTGGGATGGTGATAGATTTCTCCCTAGAATGTTCTTCGACGCCTTTCTTTCTAGAAATCACGATCCCTCGACTTTACATGTATGGCTGATTTTGCTGGAACGAATTGTTGCTCGTCATTTCAATTCTTAAGGGGTCAGTTTGGAACTCTTTCTGAAAAATTGTATGGATTGTGTTCAGTTTATTTCAATTGGAAACTCTAACTCTAAACCTCATGAAGTAAGCTAAGAAGAAAGAAATTTAAGTTAATTCAAGGCGTTTCTCACTGGGAATGGGATTATGTTGTTGGAGAGAAGGTTTCTACCAACTCTTGACAAAAGGAGGGCTGTGGGTCTGAGTGAAGAATCTGGCGGCAGCAGGAGGTGGGAGGCGGCCTCCTTTTTCTCTGTCTTCTTCCTCCTCCGGCTAGAAGCAGAGCATCGGTTGCGGTCGGGTTAAGGTGAGCAATTGTCGGGGAGAAGAATCCGACAGCGGCAACAGCGCCCGGAGGACAGTGGAGCTCGGCGGCGGCAGGGCAGGGTATGAAGTTGTTTGATTAAGGTTTTGATTAGAAATTGAGGTCAGAGGGTAAAAGTGTCAATTTGATGCATTTTAGGGCGATAAAATTTAAATTTTAGGGCGACGAATAGCGATTCAGGATTCTATTGGGTAATTAAATTTAAGGGTTAATGCCACATTTGGTCATTATGATTACTAAATTGCGTCATGTTTAATCACTAGAAAAAATTAATATCAAATTTAGTCACTGTAATTACTGAAACAGGTCACATTTAGTCACTCTCCGTTAGTCTCCATCCAACTCCGTTAATGGAGTCCGTTATGTGCTGACGTGGCTAACGGAAATGCCTAGTCAGCACCATTTTGGACCGAAAATGGTCAAACCTGACCCGCCACATCACTAAACCCGCCATGTCATACACCCAACCCAACCCATTAACCTAATTCGACCCAGAACCAAACCCTAGCCCACTTAACAAAACAAAATTGGAAAATCGATCGGTTAGTGGCCATTTCAGACCAAAACACTTTCTCCTTCCTCACCAAGCTCCGCTACTTTCTCGAATCAATTCCCCCGCAAAAAAATCCCCAAATTCGTCGAAACCCGGAATCCCTAGATCGCGAAGCCACTCACATCCTCGTGATCCTCCTCCTCACTGCGCTCGCCGCCGCCGCTCGGTAGGTGGCGCCCGATCGACCCGAGGGCCTCAAGGATCCGGAAGTGAGGATGCCACGAAGTTCGCCGTCAAGCAGCACAACGAGAAGGAGGGGGAGAAGCTGAACCTGGTGAGGGTGGAGTCCGGCGCGTACCAGGTCGTCCGCGGGAAGAACTAAAAGCTGGAGCTGACGGTCTCCGGCGCTGTAGACGCCAACGGGTTGTCCAAGTACGAGGCGATCGTCTTGGTGCAGCCCGATGCCGTGAAGAGGCTCACGTCGTTCAAGAAGGCGACGTGAGCTAGCATGCTCGAATCTTGATCGATCTCCCTGGATTTCTCCGGCTTTTCGTGTTCGGATGATGCAATTGTATATTAAGGTAATGGGGAAGGAATTGTGATGTGGTGGTTACGTGAGATGTATCTGTGTGCGTGTTTGCATTACCGGAAATAAGAATGGAAGAAAAAAGCTCTATTGCTGTTGGTGCTATTCGAAATCTGTTTGTTCTCCCGGAAAACTGGTTTTTGGAACTTTCTCGAGAAAGGGTTTTGGTCTGAAATGGCGACTGACCGATCGATTTTCAAAATTTATTTTATTAAGTGAGTTAGGGTTTGGTTTTGGGTCGAGTTGGGTTAATGAGTTGGGTTGGGTGTATTACATGGTTGGTTTAGTGATGTGGCGGTCGGGTTTGACCATTTTCAGTCCAAAATGTTGCTCACTAGGCGTTTCCGTTAGCCACATCAGCACATAACGGACTCCATTAACGGAGTTGGATGGAGACTAACTGAGAGTGACTAAATGTGACATGTTTCAGTAATTATAGTGACTAAATTTGATATTAATTTTTTCTAGTGACTAAACATGACACAATTTAGTAATCACAGTGACCAAATGTGGCATTAACCCTTAAATTTAATAAAACAGTCCAAACTTGATCACTATACTATACGTTATCTTCCGCCAGTCTCCATTAACACCGTTAGAATTGGCGCGACGGGTTGGTTAATTAGGCGATTTTGTTTGCCACATTAGCACATAACGGACTCCATTATCGGAGATCGACAAAAATTAACGGAGAGTGATCAAACTTTGACTGATTTATTAAATCTAGTGACCACGGATGATATTAAATATTTTTAATGAACAAATATGAATTTTTTTAGTAATCTTGGGTAGACCCATTTCCAATGACATAATAAAAAAATATACAATGATAAATGCTAGGCTACTAGAATGCTAATTTGGCATTTCGTTTTTTTCAGAGTGCGCTTTGCTCTACTAAAAAGTGTTAGAATGTCAAAGTTCAAACTTATTTTTTTAATTAGGAAAAATTTACTTGCGTAGCCATAGTTATCGATTTTGTGACAATAATAGCCAATTTTTTGAGAAATACACAAAATGTTCAGATATTAGAAACATGTTTGACAAATGTAGCCATTTTCGTTAAAAAATTTAACATGATTAAGATTTCGTTAGTTACATCAACAAGATGATGACGAGGATGCCACATCATACTTTAATTGTGAGACTAAATTTTTTGTCTAATGATGTGAAAAGAAATAACTCTCGATTTATTATTCCTGTTATTATTATTGTTTTTGAAAGAATGTTCACATTTTTTTTTCTATGAAGGATGAGTTCACTTTTTTTGTGTAAGGAATTAATTATTTATAAGAAAGGATAAGACCTATTTTAGTAAAGTGAACCGAATGAGAATCGACTATGGAGGAATTGTTGATTGGAAGAGGAAAAATAAGAACCTTTTTTTGTATAATTGTCCCCTATATGAGCATTTAAGCATTCTTTTGAATAATATGGTATCACCGGCAAACCATGGTATGTCGTGATTTATGTAATCTACTGGCGATGGTATGCCTTAACCATTACCTCAAATAAATGACTGTTACGTTCTTTCATTTGATCGTAAAGCGTAACTAGCGTATCTGATTTTTATTCATTAGGTATCCAAATCATTTTGTTCCAATATTATTCACACATGCAGCAACACAATATACATCTTTAGTTTTGGTTTACAGGAGGAGGAAATTTAATTGTCACGTTGATCATGAAAGAGAGAATGATTAACTAATTAATTAATTAGGCGGAGTCTCTGAAAGATCTGTAGCGATAGACAATGAAGGCCCCAACCGCCACAGCCGCCACAACCGCCAGTCCAACGTTGACCATCGTCTGTCTATTATCTTCGTCCTTTATCAACTCGTCAACCCGCTCCAAAATCCCCAACCCCTTGGCCTTCTTCCTCGCAGCAGCAATATTACCCGACGACGACGTCGTAATAGCCTCCTTCTTCATTCTCTCCCCAATGTTATTTTCCACCACGTCATCCTTGATAGCCGACAACGTATTACCGTCGTGGTGGTCCTCAGGCGACTCTTTCCTCTTCTTGCTGCGGCTTGGTAATGCTGCCGTTACCCCCTGGTGACGATGTTCTTCGCCGTCGTCGTGGACAGCACTTAACTTTGCCGTCTCCGCTGCTGCCTTGGCAGCCAGAGAAGAAGAAGAAGCTTCTTTCGGTGGTGGGAGATCAACAACTTCTGCCTTGGTGGTTGGACTATTATCTTCTCTTTCTTTTCCTTGTTCCTCGCCCACTTCTTTTTCCGGTGTGACCGTTTTGGCCGCGGCCACCGCGTCGTGACCTTTCTCATGATCATTGGTCGTTGCGGCTGGGGGAGGTGGTGGAGGAGGAGGGGGTGGTAGTGATTCTTCATTAAGTACTGCAGCTTGAGGAGGCGGCGGCAGCGACGGAGGACAGTAATATAATCATCTCAGAGTATCAAATTTTATGTCAAAAATTTCAATATGTAAGTTTTTGAAACACCAAAAATTATCGGACGAACTCAAATTAACCCTCCAGCAGAACCATTCTTTGATTAGCCATAGAAGGACTCTTCTCCAACTCGCATCTAATGACATTCGATTTCCATATGCTCTCTTTCCTAAAGGTCAGTCACTCTCAAATCACTAAGGGGTTGGTTTCAAAGTCATTTCTAATCAGCAAGAATGCTGAACGAAGAATCTCGAGGAAACAGCCAGCTGAACAGTGGATGACACTCACCCACCATGGGAGAATGGGGATCAGACAGTTCTGTATAATCGATAGTCTGACATCTTAGATTCCTATAGAGGATCCCACAAACTAAGAAAATCACAACTAAAGCACGCACATAAAGTTAAAATCTTTTAACTAAGCTCTTCTCACAAAATCCATACTAAAGCTCTTATGAAGAAGTTTCCCATACGCATCTTACCTGCAGCCCATGTTGTTCGGCATGATATTTATTATCACCTTCAAGACTCTCCACTTCAACGTACTTGTCAAAAGATGCATATACATCTCGACAACCTTTGACATCAAGCTGAAGATCTGAAGTTACACGGAAGTAATAAAATGATTTAGCATGGGACAAGTCTACTAATAATGAGTTCAAAATATCAGGATTTTTACCATAAAATGATTCCTTCCTAGTGGACTTGTAATCCACATTGATGCACTCTATATAATTCATATGGTGCCCTTCAAACAACTGTTGTATTGTTCCCTCTACAACAGTTCCCTGAACAAAAAAAAAAACAAAGACTATGCCTGTTAACATTCCAGTGAGACAACAATGAGCATGACGAGCCAAAAGCTTTTCATTCCCCTCGTCATACCTTCATTTTATCTTCAAGCTTTTCACTAAGGACCCTATTAAGTTCTTGCACATCATGCTGCATGAAAGAATCGTAAGTGTCCCACCCGAAAGATTTCGTCAGCTCTTTTGTTGCTACACTTGTGTCACTGTACTGAAGTTTATAAAACAAACTCTGCAGAGCGAGAGGGATGCTTCCTGATGGCATGTCATTCTCAGTCGTGGGCATGTGATACACAGCCTGAAATTACATTCCAGCCATAAGGCTTTGATATATTTCATATTTATTCATAGCGAAAATAAGCAAGTTTCACATGTTCAGAAACTGAAGGTATAAACAAACCTTTCTGAAGTAAGGAATATGGTAGAGTGTCTGAAGAAGAGAATTCATGTAGCATGTGGCTCCTTGGTTCTTAAGTCCAACATAGCCAGTCTCCTTTTAGAATCATGGGACCAATAATCCATAATTTTACGGACAGCGACATCTGCCTCTACTATGCATGTATCATTAACAAGATAACCTCTGCCAGGGTCATATAATCCCCAAGGGGCATGAATGAAGTAAATCCCCAGTCACTCTCACGTGCATTGAACTGGTGTTGTGTCTCTGCAGGAATAAAAGTTTCCAAAGTTTCAGTTTATATAACAACCAATGGTAATATTCAAAAATCATGTTTTCAAACTAAGTATTTTTCCACCCATCATTTTATCTCACACCAAAGGACCAGCATATCATTGAAGTATTGTAACTATATACAAGACACCATCAATGAGGAATAGTGCTCTGGATAGGGAGAGGAAAGGGTAAGGCAACAGATCTTTATGTGAAAAGGAAGCAGGGTAAGCAGAGAATCACAGATGCGACATAGGACATGGTCTTACCTACAAACTACTTTTTCCTGACTCAAAATTTAATATGAGAAATGAGCAGGCGATAGGGTAGATGAAGGAATGGGTTCATGTTGGAGAAGGTAGACACTTACCATACATATGTATATATACATATGCAAATATGTCTTTGCCATAAGAAAAAGACACAAACACACTCTACATAACAAATCTCTAATAAAATAATGTTTCTGTTATAACAAACCACTTTAGCATTAGAAAGAACCAATAGCTGGTTTTCTGAAAACATCCTCTGAAGAACAATCAGACGGATTGCTGACATCAAATACTGTTGCCCTTCTCATCAGAAATGAAAATATGTGCATCTCAATCATCCAAGAACCCTATTAATGATTTTCCACATGCCTGTGTGCCTTGATACTGAGCCAAATATCTATTATAAATTTTTACTTCTATCTCGTTCAAACTTGTTTGACCAAGACTTGTCAACAAGTGTCATAATCACAATATTTAAGAACAGCCCTAAAATGGATAGAAAATGGTTTACATCAATGAGCTGCTCTCGTATAAGTTCACGGTCTTTCCCACATCAACATTCCTTGAAACTGAAGTTAACTTCAACACACGTAACTGTCGACAGCTTGAGAGGCTCTAGTGCTTGTAAGAATACCTCCACTCTTTCAGTATCCCCCACTAAAAACCAATAGACGACTTCATCCACCAAGTTAATTTCAGAAAATAACTCTGCATTGCCACATAACCAAGCATATGCTATCACCAAGAGAACTTTATGTCTAGGACAAAGCTCCATCACCGAAAACTCAAGGCCCTCAAGCAATCTAATCTAATTCAAGAAATATAAACCTTTGCATCAACATCCACCAGCTAGAAGGATAGACCATTTAACACTCATCTGCAAACCTCAGAAACGCTCCACATATATTGCAACGGGAGAAAAAAGGAAGTCAAAACAGAGACTAATCCCACATTACTTCTCTCTACCATCCCGCAAAAGCAATCCACCTTGAAAGTATCCATGGCTTCCATCTGGTTTGTATGCAACAAAGACTAGAGACATCAGAAGCTGCTGTCTTTCAAGTATAACTTTATGTTGCACTAGCTCTAAGTCACACAGCATCTACTTTCCTAAACCATACACTCTATTTTAAGGTAGTTCAACAATGAGACAGATTCCAGACATGCGTATTAGGAAGGAACCAGGCGCACTAATATCATCGAATGAGACAAGAACTAAAGCTCAAGACAAAAATTAAAAGTATTCAAGACAATACATGGTCACCGCCAAAATGAATGGATGGACAGCTACCTTTCCGAACGGAGCCCTTTTGGTGAATTTGATTTACAACAGTCAGGCTGAACTGGGCATAACGACTCCAGCCATATGGCAGAGTTCCGGAGTCTGCAACATCTAGGTACATGGACAGATGATCCACATTGTTACCCTTGGGAAAAATCAGTATTCTCCTACATAAGCAATTTAGTTCATAAGGCTAGAGAGCAAAAAACATATAAACAACAAGCGGAAAGATTATGTAAAGCCAACAAATAAAAGAGGGTTTGGCGTACCATTTATAACCTCCAACAACAAAAACATCGGAATAGAACTTCTTGGTGTTGAGCCTCGAAAAGTTGTCAATTGTCCAGGTAAACCTTGCTGATGGTGGATCATCAACTGACTGAGCATCAGCTGTAGTTGCTGGTTCAGCTGGCGCTACTGAGGATGGTGAAGAGAAATTTAAAAAAAAAAATGAATGAGATATGGCATTGATTTTTTGGAGCAGGGAGACAAAAGCACCGAGGAAGTAAATGCTCTTGCATGCTTTGTACAAGCTAACTTAACTGATGAAATTCTAATTTCGTTCAACCAGTTAGGTGCAATGCAAATGTGCATACTCTCCCCAAGCAAATAATGGCTGAAACACTCACTAAAATCACTACCCGTTACATCAGTTATTTCGTAGCAAAGCTAGACTGTCCCAAACTAATAATAAACATTAAAAATTAGGATCTTCCTTAATAAAGAGGCAGCAGAAAACAAAATCATTCCTCCAACACAAGCTCTCCACAAAGCCATCAGAAAATAAAACGGCACTACCCAACATTATCCCCATAAACCCCGTATCCGAACCAGTTTGACCACCTGAGATCTCAAACTCTGAATCCAATAGCAAAGTTAGTAAGGAATAAGTAAAGGATGGCAGAACACGGAAATCACAGCAATCAAACACAACAGTCGCAGCTCAACTGACTCTATACAGAAAAGAGGTACGTAACAATCCCGGGACGCACCTTCCATGGGTTGAGGACCTTCCGTGACGTCGGTGTGGGGGACCAGCATCTCGTCGTCCTCTTGCTGCTACAAAAATTTTGACATTGAAGAGCAGAGTTAATACAAGAACACGGATCTGCCGATGGGAGAAAACCCTAGCAGCGAAGCCATTCGGTGCGACAGCGAAAGTGAGCGAATTCTGGTGATTGAAGTAACGAAAATCGTCGAATGAAAGGCTAACCATTCCGAAATCTAAATTGGATTGAATTGGAACTAAACCAAAGCTAATGCCAGAGAGAGAGAGAGACAGGGTAGGGAAAGTTGGAAGAGAAGACACCGGCAGTAAAGCATATTGAGAGAGGCGACAGTAGAAGGGAGGAGTTTCAGAGGTAGGAATTACATCCAACGGCGGAGGAGTCATCAGAGTCATAGCTGGCGAGGGAAAGGCGGCCGCCGATCGACGTAAGTAGAAGACGTGGACGCCACCGAGCGCGGGAGACAGAACCAGAAAGAGAGAGAGAGAGAGAAGAGAGCTCTGAAGCGAAGACGATGGATGTGAAGCGAGCCAAGAACCGAAAGTCGAAAACGAAGCGGAGACAGGGGCTTTGTTCGAGGAGGGACAGTTTGGGGATTTCGTTAGGGTAAGCTGGGGAGGGCTCACCTGGCCGGGAGAAATGGGCGAGACACGAAATACCGCAGGCTTGTAATTAACTGAAGATTTGCTCGTATTTACGGAACATGCCATTCGTCGAGCAACAAGCAAGAACTGGAAGAAAAGTCGCAAGTTTCTAGATTTTATACAAATAGTCTAATTTGGATTCCATTTAAAAAACAAAGTAAGTTTAGAATGAAAGTTGAAATAAACACCATTTTTTTTGCCATAGTGAAATAAACACCATCTTGACTTCCGTACAATTTCCAAAATGTGAATCATAAATTATTATAATTTAAAATCACAAGTATGGAGGAATTTAGATTTATCTGTGTATTGCATATATTTACACATCTAATTCGTTTACTTCATGGATTTAGATGATGGATTTGGGTCTCATTCAATTTAACGTGGACTTTGCAAAAAACCATAGTTTGCTAGAAATTTGTTGAGGGTAAAATTCGTGGAGTCCATGAAAATTGAAGGTGCAGACTAGTTCGTAGATTAAATTAACGATAGGATACATGGTTGAAGGAAAATAAAAAGTATGAGAACAAAAGTCGGAATAAATGATAGAAAACACTCGAGTTTAGGCATAAACAAGTTTTTAATATTGGTAACAGAGTCTTTTGTGATATAAATGTTTTTTTTTTCCGAATCCTGACAACACTCATTTGTTGAGCAAATGGTATTCCAACATGTGCAAATTTCAAACTCAAACATATAAGTATGCTTTTGTTCGAGGGGATCATGTTAGTAATAGCATAATAAGATCCATTAATCAAACATATCTCAAGCATTCGAGTTATTGAGATTAACTAGTTCTTAACATGTGATCGGAACCTTATATATCTCAGAGGTTCTCTTTGAATTTCGATGACCCCCACTTGTTTACCACACGGTCTTTTAATGCATGTGCAAACTTCGACTCCTTCCAAATATTGTCTTTGAACGAATGACCTGAACAAATATTGAATAAACTCCTCGAAAGATTGTCTTCGAAATTTATTAAATTTATTTGTTCTCATCGCCAATTTCTCTCCTACCGGAGGAATTATTACATCATCATTTCTTCTCCATTTCATTAAACGGCTCAATAAGTCCAGTCCTCAGGCAAGCACAACCCCAGGGGAAGCAGCTCATCAGGGAAGTAGTCGTCTTTCTTCTCCCTCGTATTAGACGTCTCGCCTCCATTCATAATCAAATGCTTCTTACCCACTCTGGCACCATCGACAATAGCCCGACAAATGGTTGATGTTGGTGACGGTGGTGGTATGGGAATGCGAGGAATGAAGACTCCAGTCCCTGCCTGTATCCTCTCCGGAGTCAGATTCTCGGCGTACCGGAAGCGCTGTCAAAGAAGAACAACATCGGTTTCACGATGAGTTTTCGTGTCTGCGTAGAATTGTAAATGATTTTCGCGTAAATGGTGGTAAATGGTGATATGATGAGGGAAATTTACCCAATGTTGGATCGGTAAAAAGGGACCAGACCGATGGTGAATGCCGCCGGAGAAGACAAAGCTACCGGTAGGGCGAGGTGGACGACATGTGTAATCGAGCATTGGTACTATTTTTCCACACAAGACCTATACAAAGGTTAGTACAAGAGTCACAATGTGTAAAACACATGGCTAATTAAGGGAAGTCACAAAGAATGATGAAGGGGGGAGTATGTGACAATGTTAATGTTTTTTTCCTGGGTAAGGTGGACGACCCATATCGTAGATATTTATTTATTTTCTAATTCAATTATGTGTGTTTTATTTTGAATTGGGGTAGGTGAAAAGAGAACAACTCAAAGGAGTAAAAGAGCGTCACGTGGAAAAACATATCAGGGTCGAATGACAAGCGCGTGATGCATACAAACAAAACGCTTGAAAAGGAATAGCAAGATTTATTATGGTAGAAGAGCGCTAGCATGCATTTCAACAATTATGTGTATCTGGGACATGGGAACGACAACAGGCAGGCCGCGAGCAAGACAGTGTTGGCAAATCTATGAATGGACATATAATTTATTTAGGGGGTCTGTACGTAGGGTTTCGTCGCCAAAATGAAGATTCATGTCTTGTCCTACATGCGACTCGATAAACACTTAAACCAGCACATGTGAAACTAGAGCAAGGGTGAAGCATATCAAAACCAAATTTATCATCCCTAATTCAACTCTTGAAATCAATCTTGAAAAACTTGACATATTGACGCACTCTAAAATATAAGGCCCCTCGTACATCAACAAAATTAGAGGCGCGCGGATGAAAGGCTTGTTTTTCCTAATAAAATATTTAACTCCCTACTTAGTATTTCTTTCCGCTCCACTTTTCCGTTACGAAAACATATTTGACCGTCACATACGATGAAAACACATAAAAGGCAAAGGATTAAAAGTCGTTTCAACATCTAATACCAAGAAGAATTGGTATTCCATCAAAAGAAGAGAAGGGTAAACATTGACAAAATGATGGGCGATGAAACCTGGTCTTTTGGTGGAGTATTCCGACCATGAAGTCTCCCAATCACCGGAGTTTTCCAGACCTTAGAGGGAATCAAGGGATTCTTGAAAGTGGTGGATTTTGGCAGTGGCTTGGGGTGATTTGAGGATGGTGAAATTTCGACCATGACATCAGAAGGAATCATACACTCTGCTTCCTTCGAATCTATGGTGAAGTCTTCCATTAAGGACACTACCAAGCTGACCAGAAAGAGTGACACTGCTACCACCATGGATGAAATACAAACCAGTGAAGAACGATGAGGGACTGGGGGTTGGATGAGAAGGAACGGGAGAATAGCACTCCTTTTTATAGAGTTCTAGTAACTGGCCTGGATTCTCATTTACATGGTATGTATGCATGTTTATTACTTCTCACAATTGTGATTTTTTGTTGTGGTATCATTGAATGCAGTTGGTTCAATGTACTCCTAGTTAAGCAAAAGATTTTTTGGGAAAAAAGTTGATTAGCTTGCTAATATGATTGGTGGGTTGCGAGGAAAAAATGTGTTAGTGCGTGAATGGTGTGAGCGTGGGTTTTCTTTATGTCAAACGATGTGTCAAGAAACGTCACTCTTGTTCAAAATGAAGATCTTTGAGAAGCATTGCATGGAGAGTATAATTGAGTGTAGTGGAAAGGAAAATAGGTTGGTGTAGTCAAATCTTTGACTGCCGTAATAGCAAATACTTTTAAAAAGTGCATAAAACGTCTAAACGTATTTAGAATTTTGACAAATGTGATATTCCTCATTAAAATCCTACTCTTTCTTTAATGCATTTGTTTAATGACATTATGATTTATGTAACGGTGCTCAATTTGAGTTGAGATGGCCTAAACAACCTATCTCCATGGGATTCTCATTTTGGTCTCTTATTGTCAAGGGCACTAAGGCCATTGTCAAGTTAACAAGAGCCTTTTTTATATTGTCAAGAGAAGAAGATATAGGAGTCACACGAATAATCACAAAAATGATGCGTCCTTTTCTTTGTCGAGCTTCTAATCCTTGTGGCACAAGGATTAGAGGTAATAGAGGGTAGACCCAAGAAGGATTCATGTTCCTAATAGCCCAAACCCCCAAATGCAGGTAAACAAAATTGTAGATTTCGCTAAATTCACCTGTTGCTCACTCAATTCTTCATATACACGCATGAGACACATAAATGTCGTACATAATTGCCGAGAACCTCATAGAAACAAGTAGGAATCATATATTAAAAAAAAAACCAGCTAAGACACAAGTGATCTAAATATAGACGCATTTCAAAAAGGCCATAATAGAGACTGCGATATCATCCTAAAAAATCCTTCATTGCAGATGGCAAATCGAACGGGAGAAAGAGGATCCCCTGGTGAATCCTTCAACGCATTTCTTAGCTCATAATTTTTTTTAGGCAAAATACAGCTGTATATCCACAACTATCACGTTTGTGACAAATATATCCACAACTATCGAAATACACGAAATATCCAATTTCGTCTAATGCTCTAACGACGTTAATTAACAGTCTGACTGGATTGACGGAATGGGCTGAGTTGGCGATATTTGGTCCCACCATTGCACGTGGATAATGAAAAAAAATTAAAAAAAAGGATAAAATCCTTCTTTTCCTCTTCCCATCGTCTTCCCACCTCTTTCCTTTTCTTCCTCAAAACCCCATCTTCGATCTCTCTCTATTGCCCTCGCTGTGTCCGATGATGCAGAAGAAGTTGGATTTTCGGTGGCGCATCTCACTTATCCCACCCCTTTCGCCATGACGTTCACGTACGCATTCGCCTCCAAGTATCAACACAAACGCCTCTATTGAATCTGGGTTTTTTGGTTGAAGCTCAGAGGTCAATCGAAGTTGGAAACAATTCCATTCGAATCAAACTTGGAGACTTGGAGCTCGAATCTGGGTTTCTGACTGAAGCTCGGAGGTTGAATCGTAGTTGGAGGCTGAAGCTCAATGCTGATTCGTTCAAATCAAACTCTTAGGCTCAGAGGTCGAATTTGGGTTTCTGTGGTGAAGTTGAATCCGCCGCAACGACTGTCCTTGCCCTCATTCGATCTTCACTATCCCCATATTTAGTGGTGAACCGGTCGTTGAGGAGCTTGACGTCGCTAGGAGAGATATTGAGACAGGAATTTTCCTTTCAAGCAGCCGCCGAAGGACTCTGGGAGGGCGTCGAGGTTGGGCATCTCGGCGAGTTCACTGGGAATCAAGCCGGCTGAGTGAGGACGCCGCCAAGTCTTCTTCCATCCGTGGTCGATGTGGGGGGGTTTTCTCATCCTTTGCTTGATGCG